GTGCATGTTGTGCATTTGTTCGCGGCGCAGGGCCTGGACTCTTGAGAGCAGAACATCTTGAAAATTCTCTGCACGGACCTGTCCTGACCTGGGAGACTCCATGGCATCTACAACTAGTTACCCCGCCAGTCTACACAAGCAGAGATTTCACTGCTTCTTCCGAGCAAGAAGGCGGTTGCCTCTGCTGCGGGAACTGCAAGCTACGCCCCACCAACAAAATAAAACTTGAGCCGAGAAGCTTCGACGGCCAGTCTGCCACATTTGAGTACGACGGCACCCTTTCTACCCAGGCCAATGTTGGGCAAGTGTTGTCTACCTCCGCCATGGCCAGCGCCAACGAAAACATAGCAGACGATTTACTCGACCCCTTTATGACAGTAGCCCTTGCAGAGTCATTGTCAATCCAGTAAATCACTTTCCTGCCGTGTAGCTGTAGCATGTTTTGAAGGAACTTCCTCACCGAAACCAATCCAAAGAGTTCGACTTCGCACATTATTTGGCTTCCCACTTCTCTGGTCCACTTATTCGCCAACTCCCTCGGAAATATACCCTGAAACACCCTGCCTCTGCCTGCACTCATGTCAAGCACAACGGCTCCCAAGCCAGCAACATTTTCTTCCCATGACCCATCCGTCCATACGTGGATCACCGGACTGAGGTCTTGGAAACAGTTGATCAAACGAGGCGAAGCGGCTTGCAACAACGTCATGGCATGTTTGCACACGGCGCACAAGGTCTTAGGAGAAGGGAAATCGTGGGCAATGACACGGGTTAGGGTTCGCATTATCAACTTGAAAAAGGCTTTCCGGCATAGAACCCCGAAGCAAAGTTAAACCATCCGAGCAGCACCTGTGCCTCGTGCACAGTGACGGAACCGGATTTCTCCACAACACCTAGCTTGCCCATCAGCTTCTCGATGCGGTCGGGCTTGTTTGTCAAAACCACTGTCCCCTGGTGAAGACAGCTGATGTCCATCTGCACTCCCAGGACATTGAACACATTGCTAAAGCAGACGCCCTTAGCACCGTCCCGGGCAAAATCCCAGCCTAAGATTTCCAACACTTCACCCACGAATGAATCCGTACTCGCTTCACTCCCCAGTAGGTCCTTAACCTGCGGTTGTGTCCTGTTCGAGGGTCTGATTGGCAGGCGACCACTTCTGGTACACCCACTGGCCCTGATCTGTGCTCCATCCTGCATCCTTGGCCTTCTGCAGCTGGTCCGCCGTCAGATTCTTGAAGGTCTCCATGAGCTGGTTGAGGAGGCACCAGAAGAGAGTCGTCCTTAGACTGACATTGCCCAGCGGACTGTTCTGCTTGGTGATTTCCTCCTTCCATTTCTGCGATGCTGCCACCAGTCCTGGAATAATGGAGGGCGCCTCCGTCTTCGCAAATATCACCCAACTGGTTGACTGCTTCAGGATATTGAGCATGTCCTCCTGTCTGACCACTACCCTGCACAGCAGCCTCGTCATCTCCTCCATGCTGGCCTCCTCTGTCTCGTAGGATCGCGCGTATGTCCCTCGGCTGGCCTGGGACTTTCTGCCTTTGCCCATCCATCCCTCGCCTTGTCCCCCTTTTCCGTTGGGCCGGCGCTGCTTCCTGCCATCTTCCTCCTCCGGCGGCGGTGTCTGCATTCGCTTCCCCCCGGTGCTGACTGCTCCAAACACTTCCTGCATCTGCGCCTCCGCCTGTGCCGCTGTCAAGGCCATGACCGCTCACGGGCGCGGCAGACACGAGAAGCTCTCTGACTCTCGCAAGTGCAGTTTGTGTAACGGCATGACATGAAAGTGCATGGACGTTCCTGGTACCATAGCTAGCATTGCAAAACTGACAAATGCTTTCATGTATACCCGTGGACCATGCGGAGCATAACTTGTCAACTTGAGGACGCACCTTCTGCCACAACTCTCCATGTTTCTGTGCCATGTGTTTGCGCAAACCCCTGGCCGTAACCTTGACCTCACAAACTTGACATTTGAGCTCCCATTTCTTGAGCTGGCTACAATCTGGAATACTGAGATCCATCTCCATCTCATCACGCACCTGATTTGAGTCATCTTCATGCTGCATCACCCAAATCATGCTGAGTTGAAAGAGGACCGGACAAGTACGGATCTGGGCGCCGGCGTCCCCAGACACCAACTGCAGGCTTCCTTGATT